TTTAAAAAAATAAAATAAAATTTATAATATTTTGAAACCTTTTAAAAGTTTTATTTCTCTTAAATAAGGAACCATAATAAAAATTTTAATGCGTGCACCTGAGAAATCAAAGTTCATGTTCATTTGTAGTGGTGAACATATTAGTCGTATTTATAATGGTTTGAACTATAATCTAAAAATTTATACTTTATGCAGATGTTGTACATATATTTTCCTTTATCGATTGAGTTATATATATGCGTCCGTTTTCTAAAATTTAAATTGCAAAATGTGTAAAAAAAATTTGTATTTTTATTATAATTTATTTTATGTAATAATATAAATTAAAAACAAATAAGATTATATAAATATATTGGAGAGAGATTCGATTTATTAAAGAGAGAGTTTAGGGATGTTAAGATAGATATTTTGATTGTGTGTTTGAAAGTAATGGTTGGGAGAGAAGTGGTGGGGCTATTTGTAAATCCGATGCACATGTTTTAGGCTCCCTACAATACAAATAACCCGAGACGGTACGGTGCTGAGACATCCACTCAACTCAACTGTGTTTTGTTTTGTTTTTAAGTTTTAGTTTTGTAAGAAGGTCCTTTTGTTTTGATTTTATTTCGTTATGAGCCTTAGTCACGGGCTTTGTTAACATTTCCACCTCCATTCAATCAATACTTTGTATTTTTATCTTTACAACACTATAATTTTTTTCCCAATACTTATACCAAATACTTATACATTAAATATTCTTTTTTTTTTTTTGAAACCAACTTATAGTTAATATTCTAAATTTACAAATACATAGTGGGTACAACTACATAGAAAATTTAGCAAAATCAAGATATAAAAGACTAGTATTGTTTTTTTTTTTTTTTAGTAGAAGAATAGAAGACTAGTATCTGGAAAATATTTAAATGTTTATCGTGGTGACTCAAAAGAAAAACGTTGTATACAAATGAAAAGCTTTTATTATTTAGAAACATTCACAAGATTACAAATGACTCTTATGATTATATTCATTCAATCTTATGATCAATTCTCTTCACGAGGTGATTTCATTTTTAAACTGCAGTTATATACTCTATTTCTATTTTCTATTCTTATTTATACCTTTCATTTTCGTTTTAATATTTTATCCCTTTTTCTATTTTTTTTAATATAAAATCATGTTCTGTTCAATAGTATAAAAGCCATCCGCAATATTTTTGCTTACGCTTGATAAAAAATTTGTGATGTAAAGAAAATAATACGGTGTGAAACTTTCTTGAACATTAATGTAGAATTATTACTTTAATGGGAATTTAATTGTAAACTTGGGGAAAACATTGAAGGGTTTATAGAAGAAAGGACTAGAACCGTTAAGTCCCTTTGTATGTTTCCGTGGGACGTAATTAATATCGTACGGTTCTCCATAAAATCCTGTCGGTGTGAGTTCTTATAACGTAATTGTTACTACACTATTTAAATTGGTCACGTACCACCACCACCACCATCACCATCGTTTCTTATTATACACAAAAAATGATTATGTTTGTTGTAGCTAGATATCAATAATGTATACGTTAACATAACACATCCACGTACGTATGTATCACCCATTCACCACCGTTACGTTCTTTGGTTTTTTACTCCTTGCCGGCCCATACAATCCCCATGCACGAATAATGAAACAATATTTGTATTTTTGTTCATTTGGCACATAAACTCAAGTACAGTTTCGTTTACTAGATATATGTTTGGTTTATTATCAAGTATATACATTCTCTCTTTAAAATGGTTTATATAAAAAGAATTTTACTTTTGAATTAAAAAGGTGGGAACTAGTAACAACATGCGATGCCAACTAAAATGTTGTTTGAAGGATTCAGATCCAAAAAATCGATCTAGGGGGAAACAGCCAAAAGAAACGTGCCCTCACATAGGAAACTGATCACAGCATTCATATGATATATACAACATTCTCTCTAAAAGGTAAGCTTGCTTGGACTTCGAGATGAATTATTTCGACTTGGTTAAGACTATATATAAACTTGATGGTCTAATCTTTGTATCATTGTATGAGTACTAAATATATTTGTGTAATTAACCAATAAAAAGGGGGAAAAAAATAGCTACCACCATTTCCATTTTTTTTTTCTAGATTTTTAATTTTTTATTATTATTATTGGAGTAGCTAGTTTTTGTTATCAAATCTTCATCTAGTGGTTCTTGAATTTATGTGAAACAATCATTCTAGAGTTGAATCAAGCAAAGAAAAAAAAAACAAAACAAAACTTGTATTATTTACTCCTATGCATGTGGAGCTTAATGTTTAGCGTTTTTCTCAATTGTTTTTGTTACAAACACTTAGAATTGGTGAATAGCCCATGGGCTTTAAGTACCTGATGAGCCTATTAGGTTTAAAGGCCTCATATAGTTGACCACGCTCGCGCCCACACGTGTTGAGGAGGCGGGAAAACAACATCATCGGCGTCACAACTCCGAAGAGAGACCAAATTGACACAGTTCCCTGAGAGAGAAAGACAAAACCTTTCCCTCGCTGGTTTCTCTGTAATCGCCATGGGTATCAAGGTTCTGATGTTACCTTCTTGTTTCAGTCTTAGATTACGGTTCCTGAATTCGATCTAATGCTGGTGGTGGGAAAAATGTCTGATTTTTTTTTAGGGTTTAACGAAGCTTTTAGCCGACAATGCGCCAAGTTGTATGAAAGAACAGAAATTTGAGAGTTACTTTGGTCGGAAGATCGCTGTTGATGCTAGCATGAGCATTTACCAATTCCTTGTTCGAATCCCTTCTTCCCCTTTTGTTTTCTTCAAATCTAGTTTCCGACTGAATCACTCAGCGAGAGTTATCGTAATTGTGAATCGATGTGATGCAGATTGTAGTGGGAAGAACTGGAACTGAAATGCTCACTAATGAAGCTGGTGAAGTCACTAGGTTACTATTACTATTTACTACTATCTCTTTGTTTCCACGTTTGTAAAGTTTGGATCTTTCTGTCTGATATGTCTTGTTTCTCTGTTTATTTGTTTGTATATTTAGCCATTTACAAGGGATGTTTAATCGAACGATTCGTCTTCTAGAAGCTGGAATTAAGCCTGTGTAATGTTCTCTTGCTATGTTCTTTTGTATACTTTCTCTGTTGGTAGAAAAGGTTTGCCTTTTAGCTAATTTAGTACTCTTGGGTTCAGCTATGTTTTCGATGGAAAGCCTCCGGAGTTAAAGAGACAGGAACTGGCAAAACGGTATATATTTATGTTCATGAATTGATTTTTAGTTTGAAAGTGCTAATATGAGTTACTGAACTGTTGTTAATTTTGTTTCAGTTACTCCAAGAGAGCTGATGCAACTGCAGATTTGACTGGTGCAATTGAGGTTTGTCACTGTTTCTTGCGTTACGAGTTAGTTAGCTAGCTTTTACTATCGAAAGGGCGTAGTTTTTAGAAGCTATTCTGTGCTAACAGGCAGGAAACAAGGAGGACATTGAGAAGTATAGTAAACGAACTGTGAAGGTAGCCTGTTCGTTTCCATCTATGAATAGTTGGACTCCTTATGATTATAGCATCCACTTCAAAGCAATTGATATATGATAATCTCCCACCATCCAGGTGACAAAACAGCACAATGACGACTGCAAAAGACTCTTGAGACTCATGGGGGTGCCCGTTGTTGAGGTACTTATGTCATGTACAGAGGTTATGTTATGAAATGGCTAAATGTTTGATGTGGTCGATGTGGCTTCTTACAGGCCACTTCTGAAGCTGAAGCGCAATGTGCTGCCCTTTGCAAGTCAGGAAAGGTCTAATTTCTTTTGTCTGTTCTCTTTTTGGTGTTTTACTGACAGTTTTGAGTGACCACTGTCTTCAGTCTTGTGTAAGTGGAAGTTCTACAATGTTGCAATGCTTATGAATAGTTTCTGTCTGTTTAGGTTTATGGTGTGGCTTCTGAAGATATGGATTCCTTGACTTTCGGAGCTCCGAAGTTTCTTCGCCACCTGATGGATCCTAGCTCCAGAAAGATCCCTGTCATGGAATTTGAAGTTGCTAAGGTTTTTCTCTCACACATACTATCCTTTTCTTCTTCGTGTTAAGTAATTGAAACCATCTCTTCTCTTGTGGTCTCGTTTCAGATTTTAGAAGAGCTTCAACTTACCATGGATCAGTTCATCGATTTGTGCATATTGTCAGGGTGTGACTATTGTGACAGCATCCGAGGTACCTAAAGACTTATTTTACCCTCTTTATATCTTTCTCTGTAGGTGATATATATCAACAGTCAACACTATGGTTTTTTTCTTCGTTCAATGTAAAGCATGTAAACTAATATGCATTTTCTGCCACAGGTATCGGAGGACAGACTGCCTTAAAGCTAATTCGTCAGCATGGATCTATTGAGGCCATACTTGAAAATATAAACAAAGAAAGGTTTACCTCTGTTTAATTATCTCAGAGGAATTTGATTTGGTTACAATATACTAGTTTAATGATATAATAGCTGAAACTAACCAATACGAGTGAAGGGTAGAAATTGCAAATTCAGTCTACTTGGGTGCATATTATCTGTGTCTTCTGTTGAAAATTGAAAAAGTTCTTGCCATGTTGCAATACCATAACCACGCTCCTAAGATTTTTTGTGTCAATTTGTAGTCTGATCTAAATTAATCTATACTGTTACTTTTGTTGAGTTCTTACTTTGAACAGCTGCTGTTCCAAGAAACAATATCCATAGTGTGTTAAAGACCTTTACCACTTTGGTTCTATATGTAGGTATCAAATACCGGAGGAATGGCCATATAATGAAGCTCGGAAACTTTTCAAAGAACCCGATGTCTTAACAGATGAAGAGCAGCTGGATATTAAGTGGACCTCTCCAGATGAAGAGGTAGAAACTGAGTTCTCCCCATTTCTGTATTCCTTCAGGAAATTTTTTTAATTCCCTCTTTGTTTTCTTCCTTGCCAGGGTATAGTTCAGTTTTTGGTGAATGAAAATGGATTCAACATAGATAGGGTAACCAAGGTATGTTTCATGTAGTGTTATCATACATTGTTTGATATTGCCATATACAGTAGGTGCATGCATTATTCTGACAATATTATGGTTGATCTGAAATTTTCTTATATAGGCCGTAGAGAAAATTAAAACTGCTAAGAATAAATCATCCCAGGGCAGGTATGCACCTTTCGAACAATATATAGTGGTGATTTTTCTCTTTCAACTCATTTATTTCTTAAACATTTCACAGGCTGGAGTCATTTTTCAAGCCAGTTGCTAACTCATCCGTGCCTGCTAAGAGAAAGGTTTGTCTCTCTCAATTTTATATATGGTCAACCCATTAGTTCTTATGCTCTTTTCTTTTGACTTGTACATGAATGTGTAGCTCCTATAATCTTTTTAGTGCAAAAGAAACACAGATTAGTAAATTAATTGGTAACTCTTAAGGCTTTCCAAATGGATGTCAAAACAACTTTCCTAATTCGTGGTTCTTGAACGTTGATCTTCTTCATGCTTCCCACCTACATACTGTGATTATGAATTCACTGTGGCCATAGCCTGCCATAAACTCTTAATAATACTCGTCAAGAAATGGATTATATTACATGCACACACTTTAGGGAACCTTATATGCCTAGTTGCCTCTGAGGTGATTCCTCACTATACTGGATCACAGGGTACCAAATGTTTGCTCCAGCAGTATAAACCAGCTATCAGCAATAAAGTCTTCTCTCTACATGCTATTGGATGGAACACCTCCAATAACATTGCTAGCCTTAGGCTGTTCTCTCTATCCCGGGGTTCAAACCCTTCTGTTCAAGTTGCTGGAGGTGGCTTAGACACAAGAATCTAACAGCACGGTGAAAATTTATAATCAAAATCTGCCATCTATAGTTCTCTTTAGCTATATGTTTAGTGTACGATATTGAGCTGGAAACTACCTTACATAGACTAAGTGCCTCAACTCATAAGAATCCTGTGTTAAATAGGACACTCTACTGGTGTTTCACATGTTTTAGATATACATCGATCCATCATTTGGTGTTGATAAACTGTTTCTTACTTTTTAATAGGAGATCCCAGAGAGTACCACTAAAGGAGCAGCAAATAAGAAAACCAAGGGAGGTGGTGGAAGGAAGAAGAAGTAAAGCACAGTTCCAGTTGTTTTAAGGCTGTATAAGTTAGTACGCTTCTGCTGCAAAGATCTCGTGAGAAGATTGATAATCTTTGATGGTTTTCCTAAGGCTAAGTAGTCTTTTGCTTTTTGTTTTACAATGTGTTCGTAACGTGTTTAGTCTCTGTTCTCAATGGTAGAAAAGTAGAAAGGTCTGGACTTCGTTTGCATGATCATGAATTTTCTTATGCCAAGGGAAGTGCTTGTGCTTGTGTATTCGAATTTGAGCTGATTTCAGAATTAAGATGTGATGTAAAAGCAAGTCTCCATGTCAAATTATATCAGCACTTGTTTCAGAAAACAGGAGGGGTGCCAAAAACACAAAGATTCATCACATAGCAAAATTACTGAAATGATTACATAAGATATTGTTTTACTGGCTAAAGATTACAGGATTTTACTTGAAGACTATTAAGAGATGGAGACAGGATTCAAACAATGGTGCAGCCGCCTCCGCTCTCATAGGTATTAACTGATACCATGTCACAGGGATGGGCTGGATTGTAGTAGTAAGGCAAACAAGGCTTGCACGGGTCTGGTTTGGGGTCTGGTTTTTTCGGTGGTCCGACACTGATTACTACTGGTTTCTGTTTGATTCTCTTAAGCTGATCAACTACACAAACTGGATCCATCGTACCCACCACGGTTAGTACACTCTTCTCTTGATCCAGTGAAACAAGATTCACACCTGCATTCAAAATCTCTCATCTTTAAACTATATTCACATGATTGGTAACAACATAGCTTCTCTTATATAAAAACCGTACCTTCTAGCTCTGTGACAGCCTCCATGATTGCATGTTTGCATTTCTGACAGTCGATATCGACTTTGATCTCGACTTTCTGCACAAAAAAACCGAATGACGATTCAAGAAAAGGAAAAAAACTCGAATTCGTCTATGTATAAGTACTATGAGCATGTATGATTTTACCTTAGTCGTCATGATTTAGAGATTAATAGAGAAGAATATGGATTATGAGATTTTAGATATGAATAGAGTAGACGAAATCAGAAACATATAAATAGGGAGATGGATTGTTCTCATTTCTCAACATCTTCCTATATAATAAGAACCATCTTTGTAAACTGTTTTGAGCTTAAAAAATATAAGCGACTTGACTTGTATTATTAAGTCTTTTTCTCCCAAATCGTTGCGTCAACGAACTCACTCTAGTTACATTTTAATTTACGTAATCTATATAATACATATGTTTACACATATATTATAATAGTCTACATATTGAATTAGTGTGAGTCACCTAGTTGATATATTTAGATAATATGGAACTCAACTTGAACTTGAGATTTTATCCATGAGGGGTTTTGTTTTAGTCCTAAAGACTTAAACTATTTTGTTCACTTGACTCTTTGTTTAATGTTTTATGTTGTGTACTTGACAATGACAGTGACGTTTTAGCGGACAATCTCTGTCGGCCTTTATTGGTCATATTCCGGTTTAATTTGGGTCGGACATGAGATGAAACCAGACCGTGTTTGAACTAGATCTCTCCGGTTTGGTTAAGGTGTAAGATTTGGATTCAGTTTGACCAAAACAAAAACTTGACTTCTAATTTCTATAATATGGGCATTCGGATATTCAGAGCGGTATTTGGTTTTGGGTTTTTTGGATGTAGAATTTTAAAATCTTATTTTAGATATTTTCTAATTTTAAGTTCGGATTAGATGATTTGGCTTCAGATTCGGTTTATCGAAATATTCAAAAATCATAATAATTTTTGCATTCGAATCTATCCAAACTACACGAAAATATGCAAAATATTAAGAACTACGTCTATTTTTTTAATCTACATATGCTAAAAAAATAGTTGAAATATACATTAAAATATTAAAAGCACTCAAGCTATTACAATAATGAATATAACTAATATATTATTATCATGTATTTTATGTTTTGGGCATCTTTGGATATTCATGATTTTGAAGTTTAGAATCTGTCCGGATATTTTAAATTCCGTATTTGAGTTTTTTTGGTTCGGACCGGATTCTCGGATTTGGGTATTATGTTGAAACCTAATATTTTTTATGTAAGTTATTATGTTTTTTAACCAAAAACTTAACGAAATAACCAGCCAACTCCCAATTTTCTAATTTCATATTCCTGCTAAAAGTTTTATTGTGTTTGGTGGTGACTTGGTGTTTAATAATTTCCAGGAAGGTAAGTTATTTTAGGTGAGTTTCCTTGGACGGTGCTAAACTACATAACCATTAAGATTAGATGTCTCTATTTCTCCAATAAACAACTCCTGTTAATGACAACCTCTCCCCAAAACATTGAGCATACTTTAGAACCTAATTTTGGCTAAATTAAGGACTCAAATTTGTCTAATTATAGATGTTTCAAAAGCCTCTTGATCTTTATAAGAACACCAAACCAGAGCTTTCTATATTCGTGAATTTATTTAAATTCATCATATTTAACCTATTTTTTAATAAAAAGATAACAACAACAACAATAATGGCTTCTACTACGACCAAATTTGTTGTTGTTGTTATCACCATGTTGGTCGCAGCCGTGGCCATTGCGGAATCTGAGATGCTTCAAGATGTTTGCGTTGCTGATTTGTCCAATGGTATTTTCATTTACCTCCAATGACAACATTTTGCTTTGACCTCTTTTGTTTATTCATCATTGGAAAAAATGACTCATGAATATATAATTTCCCCATCTACTTAGAAAATTATATATTTTAGAAAATGTGACACCAATTCTGATATTTTGAAAACCAACTCTTCTCATTTGTATTATACTTTATTTCTATTTTTTCGATTTAGTATTATATTATCCAAAGACTTTCTTGGAAATTTATCATGATTTTTATAAATATTATAGTATTTGTAAACATGTTTAAAATAAAAAGTAGGTGAACACATAGGATTGAAATCTTCAAACATTCTTTTAAAATAGTATCATACCAATTGTACATAAACCTTTTGAAGTTAATTAAACTTTTCTGTCTTTTATTGTTCTTGTCATAAAATTTATCTAAATTTGTCATTTTATTATTTGACAAAATGAAGCGGTCAAGGTCAACGGATACACTTGCAAGGACTCAACACAAATGACACCGGAAGACTTCTACTTCAAAGGCATAGCCTCTGCTGCTGCCACTAACACATCCACCGGCTCGGTCGTCACCGGAGCCAACGTAGAAAAGGTACCAGGACTCAACACCCTCGGCCTCTCCATGTCCCGTATCGATTACGCCCCAAACGGCCTTAACCCACCACATGTCCACCCACGCGCGTCCGAGATCATTTTCGTCCTTGAAGGTCAGCTCTACGTCGGTTTCGTGACAACCTCCGGAAAACTTATCGCCAAATACCTTAACAAAGGAGAGGTTTTCGTCTTCCCCAAGGGACTACTCCATTTCCAGAAGAACATTGCCAAAGCTCCAGCATCGGTAATCGCAGCATTCGATAGCCAATTGCCCGGAACACAATCACTTGTCGCCTCTCTCTTTGGAGCTCTTCCCGAAGACATTCTCGTTAAGTCATTCCAGCTCAAATCCAAACAGGTTCAGAGGATCAAATCCAGATACCCATCCAAGAAATGATGAGTTTGTATTGGTCTCAATTGTAAACACTAAGCGAAAACGAATGAATGAAGATAAAGTTTGCAACTTTAAACTATAATGAGATGGAAAATTAAGCGATAACAGCTCGGTCTCTCATTGTCTTGAACCTAACGAACAAATTCTCAACACAAAGTTCATAAAATGCAAAAATCAAAAGTAGTTTTTTACTTCTTCAGTGCCATGTTCATTCATCACTTAGCCGCTCTTCCATCTGGAATCGAGAACAAGACAATAGGCTTAGACGATTTGACAAAAGGCACATCGCACCTGAAATAGCCTTTCCTCTCAAGCTGAATAACATCTCCACATTTCAGATTCCTCATATTTGAATCACCAAGTGCCAATGTTTCCTTCTTTGTGTTAGGATTCACAAAATCAGCAACTTCATCATCATCTTCCAGCTGAGTTGCAGCAAAAGAAAAGAAAATAAATAAATCAGTGATCTTGAGAGAGATAACAATACTGTAGAGATGTATCAACCGAGGCGTACCTTCTTCTTCGTAATTAGATAATCAAACTCTGTTAATGTGAGATTGACCAATTCATTGGTGTTGGGAAGCCATGTGAGCTTCAGTTTTGTAGTCTTTACAGATCCTTGGAGATTCAAAGCACCAGATAACGCAGTGACATGACCATCCTCACCCTTTGTAATTTCCTTTACTATGGCATTTCCCCAATCCATCAAAGTTACTTCCTCACCAACAGATATCGCACTCGCATCAGCTTCCTCGATCCAAATGCTCTTGGTGAAAGTGGTCGCCTTTTCTCCAGCACCTTCAAATTTCTTGTGCTTTGGTATCATGCGAACAAACGGCTCATCAGGACCATCCGTTAGGGTAAATAGTACACGATGCTCTGCAATGACAGCAGTGTGTCTCGGACACACAGGGTCAATTATTCTTTTATTAATAGACCAAAGTTTATCCCATTCCATCAAATTTAGATTCTTTGAAGCCCCCTGGAAAACAAATCAACAGAATTATAATTACAGATTATTTGTAAGAGACAGGCTACAATGAAGAAGAAAGGCTTACCTGCTCAAGAATGAATTGAATCAGAGCCTCGATTTTCAAACCTCTACGAACAATTCCTTGGACTGTCGGGAAGCGTGGATCATCCCACCCATCAACCAATCCAGTCTGGACAAACCAGAGAAGCTTCCGCTTACTGAGAAGTGTAAAAACCAGATTTAACCGACTGAATTCATAAAGCTGAACCTGTCGCATTCCCATGTCTTCCAGAACTTTAAAGTACTGAGCATTCCGGTCATGATACTCACTAGATCGAAGGGCATGCGTTATACCTTCAAGGGAATCGACAAACGGGCAAGCAAAGTCATACGTTGGATATATCTTATACTTATCCCCAATACGGTGGTGAGACATAGGATTGCATCGATAATAAACCGGGTCGCGCATGGCTTTGTTGAGATCTTGCATGTTGAATTTCCCGCGAACACAGCACTGTAATCCTCTCTCACTTCCCGCAATCATTTCCTGCCATAGCTTCAAATTCTCATCAACGCTATGATTCCTGCACTTTGAATCAATCCCATCCATCCTCTCTTTCTGCATCTGCTCCCTTGGTGTGTCGTCAACATATGCTTTGCCCTCACGCATCAGTTTTTCTGCCATTTGCATCAGTTCAGGAAAGTAATCCGAAGTGTATGTCACTTTCTCATACTTGATCCCCAGGGTCCCAATATCTTTCACGAGATTATCCACAAACTCATTGCTTTCTTTAGCAGGGTTAGTATCATCAAAACGCACAATCACTTCCCCTTGGTAACGCTCAGCAAAATACTTGTTCAGCAACGCAGCCTTGGCATGTCCAATGTGAAGGTAACCACTTGGCTCTGGAGCAAACCGAAGTCGAACCTTTCCAATTTCTGCTTCCGGCAAGTCCACTTCAGGTTTACTTTTATCATTTGCATCCGCTTTCGAGGCTTGTTGGCTGTCTTTAGCCTTGGGTGCAGCCACAGGCTTCCCTGAGCCTTTCTTTACATAAGTTGCTAAAACCTTGTTAAGAAGTTCGCTATACTCGTCTAAAATCGAGTTGAACCATCTAACCAAACTCTGATACTTTTTTGATTTCCTCAAACTTTCCCATCTTTGGCCAGTTCCTAGCAAAAATCTCAACTAATCAGCTTCAAATACAGAGTAACTCATACCAAATTCACAACAAAGACTCAAGAATAATATAATTTATACCTGCCAGAGCTGACCAAATAGCAACATCAGCAATGGTAAGAGAATCACCAACAAGAAACGTGTGACTCTCAAGATACTTATCGACACGACCACAAGCATTCTCAAACTCTGAACCAGAGGAGAAGACAGAAGCGTAATCTACAAACTCATCAATCTGATAATCGCCCACAAGAAACGATTAGGCAATTTTACATCAGAACATTCATGCTATGATGATAAAAAGAATACTCCATGAATCTAAATCTAGACCTGGGAAGAATCAAAAGCATCGTGGCCATAGAAATCAAGAAGCTTGTTAGCTGATCGACCAACATAGCGAAGAAGAACGGTGGTTCCACTCAATTTCCTCCTAAATCAACAATTCGACCAAAAAGGATGAAACTTTATGCTTTCTCTAAGAAGAAGGAACCAGACTGAGATCAAAAAGAACATACCCATCGGAGAAGACAAAAGAAGGGACCGTAGTTGCGGCTGCGCTTGAATCAATAACAACGGGAGAGGCTGAGAGAGAGAGAGCAACGATGACTGAAAGTGGTGGACTTTCCGGTGGGAACGAAAGCTTCATCCCATCCATTTCACTTTGCTCAATCAGAAACGACACCGACGATTTCAGATTGAAGCAGCGACGAAGAAGCGATAAAAAAGGTTCCAAGACTATATTAGGTTTTGAGTTTTAACTGTGGGCGGCTCAAGTTGTAAACTTTTCCCAATTTAGTCCATAAAGTATCAATCTTTACATTTTTTTAGTCTCAACTTGGGTTGTGAAGTAGCAAGTAGATATATAGAACATAGTTTGGTACATTTGGTGTTCTTTGGTATGTTCAAATGCATTCACGTTCAAGCTGTACAAATGCTCTTATCATTCCACAAGACATCAAATGTTTTTGAGTTCATTAGGATTTACTGTGAATAGGTGTAACATGCCTAGAAGTGTTTCTTTTCGCTCTTTTGGGTATTATGCTTGAAAGATGAAACCAACCAAGACTATATCCAACAAAAGAGTCATCATCCATCACACATGTTTCTGTATCCAAGACTATATCATTAGTTATGACTAGTTTCTTCATCAGTGTCGCTGCAGTTCTCTCTTCGAGTTAATACGACTAGTTAACAATTTAACTTTATGGAAGATATAGCATTGGAAAACTCCTCATAAGCTCCAATGCAGAGGCCAATACAGAAAAGCTAACACAAGGATTACAATTCGTTGGACTTAAGTGTGTAAAAGTCTCATAGTACACTCTGCTCCAAAGTGACCATATACTCATCCAGCAATGTTACTGTAATCGAATCCTCAACTGTTTCCCACTTGCAGATGATCCCTCTGCCTTGGACAGATTCTTTGATTAAATTGCTGATATGATATGAACTTGAGCTGTAAAAAAAACTACTATCTTCTTCTTCGATTCACGAAACCAGAAAGACTTGATTCATGAGAAACACTCAACTCTCAACCAAATGCCCAAACCAATCCCTAGAACAATCCATACTACCTAAACAATCTGCCAAGACATCCTTATAAACCTAGCTATCACTAACTTTTATCTAATTCAAGTCACACAAACAGTCCATTATCTACAATCCGCTACATTCATTCCTACGCTAGTTATAGTAGACCTATAGACTAAAGCTTGAACACCTGAACTTCTTCAAATAGACCCATTCTCTGTCTCCAATTACCATCTCTTACCATTTGCCACATTTAGAGATAGAGACAAAAACCACCCAAATAACTATGCACAGAAGAAAATCTATAAATCTATGCATACCACTTAATAAAAGTTTGATGCAAACTAAATTCAGTGAAAACTACAACACCACAATCACTCAGCTATAAACGAATCAGAATCAAAACACAATTGCTTTATCATCATACTCATAAACGAAGATGCTCTGCAAAGAGCCTAACACATAAGAAAAAACACTCAATAACCATTGATGAACTTCTCAAAAAGAAAGATTCTATACAGATTGATCCCCCAAAAAAAAATCCAAAAAATATATAATAAGAATGATTCCCCCAAAAGGCCCCAACCCCAATTCCCAATAACCAAACTTACAAAATGATCACCGATGTGTATTACACTCATCAGAACCGAAATCATTAGTCTCTAACATACCTCTCAACATCTCATGACTAAACCTTTCATCATTAGGATCAGAAACAGGAGACGAAACCGAAGACCCATCATCACCACCACAACCACAACCACTCTTCTCTCTCCTACGAGGTCTAATCACACGAAAGCATCCACCTTTACGCGACCCAGAACGTTTCGGCGATTTGGGTTTCTTCAGAATCCTCGATATGAATCGATTCCTACTCTTGGAAGAAGAAGAAGACACCATTACCAATTGATTCTCACCATCGAATTCATCATCATCATCATCAACGATTGTTACATCTTTCTTCTTCTTCTTCTTCCTTGTCGTCTTGGTATCGTCGTTACAGACGAGTCCTCCGTTTTGTTGTTGTTCATTCAACGAAATCTCACTGTGGTTCCCAGGCATTAACCAGACGGCTATAAAGATTCTGGATTTCTGACAAAACCCGAATCGGAGAATTGTGAAATTGCAAAAAAGAAAGGACTTGTTTTTTTTTTTTTTTTTGTGTTTGTCTCTCTCGTCTTCACGGCTTTCTCACTATAGGTTTCTTCTTTCTCTTTCGCTGGCTTGCAATTAAATTGTTGTGTTTAACGACTTTATTAGTTTAATTATTAATTTATTAGATTCGGGTATATCGCTGTTTTTGTTTCCTTAGTTTATTAATTTGTTATTTTCTCTGTTTCAGATTTAATATTGTTTAAAAACTAACTATTTTTTTTTACTGTTAAAACAAAAGAAATTCTTTATCTTTTTTATTGATATAGTGTAATTTTCTATTGAATATAATATTTAAATGAAAGCGTAAATTTTTACAATATATTAATGAAAAATAATTACTTTCATGAATTTGTTTACAAAAGAGGATACTATAAAGTTAAGAATAATATATTTCTTTATGATTTTTTTATTGAGTAGAAAGCCCTTAATTAATTTGTAATAAAATTATTATCTATAAACATTATTAAAGGTTGTTAAGTTACTATATTTACTCTTTTGTTGACCAAAAAAAAAAGAAAGAGATCTTTATTAGTGAATTTAAAAGCATCTTTAAATTGGTAACCAATTTTGCTAAAAGAACACACGTGTAAATACTTGCCATTGTTGTAATGTTGTTGTTACTTGTCCACAAAGGAGTATATGCTAATGACTGCTTTATTCTCTCTTTTCGATTTCAGTTTGATTCTAGTATTCGTTTTTTATTTTCTTTTATACCGTTTTCTCGGAGTATATGAAAAGATTCGGCTTTATTTTAGTAATTTTTATTTTATTTTTGTATAATAATTTCAATTTTTTCTTCTTAATCAATATGTAATCAACATTTTGTTCAGTAAATTTTTATTTTGTAACTTTACATTTTACAACGTATGCGATTGTGCATTTTTACCTATCAAAGTTTATGTCTATGTAATTATGTTTGGACTAAAAAACCGTACCTAAAAACCAACACCAAATCCGAACCAAAAACCGGTTTATATTTTTTTAAAGTATATGAAAAAATTTGGTTTTATTTTGGAAAATGTATTATTTTTAAGAATTTCAAGTTTTATTCGATTTTTAATACTAGTTTTGTTAGAGATTTATTCACAATTTAAAATCTTTAATTGATGTAATTTTAATTCTTTACTAGGTTTTAACCCGCGGTACACCACGGGACGATTTTTTTACTCAAATTTTTATATTTAAATTATATTTTTCTTTTTAATTTTACTTAGTGTTTAAAATTATGTAGCTGTATTTTGATTGTGAATTTTATTACTTATAAGCTCGTTGGATAATTTTTTGTAACTAATATTTTTTTTTAAGTTGTATTTGTTTATTAATTTTTAAGTATTTAATATTGTACAATGATATTGTGATTGTTAATTATATGATTTAATCTGTGGAATACAACATGACAAATTGTTTTGTTATATATAACCGTAATTTAATCAACTTAATAAAGTATGTACAATATTTCAAATAATGATATGATGGCGGCGTAACATCTTTCATTTAACTCATTTTATTTTAGATTAAAATATTTTGTGTGTAAAGTCAAAATATAATCATATTTCTATAAAGTAAAGCCCATAAGAAAAATATTTAATCATATTTCTATAAAATCAAACCCGTTCAATCAAATTTATGTAAACTCAAACCCATTTAATCAAATATAATCATAGTTATAAGCATATTAGTCTTATTTATAATGTTTTTGAACCATTGTCTAAAATTTTGTACCCGATGTGTGACGTTGTACATTTTTTTCTATGATTCAGTAATATATGTCCGTTTTCAAAAATTCAAATTACAACATATGCGGAAAAAAATTTTATTTTTATTATACATATGTTATATGTAATAATATAAATTTTAAAACAAATAAGATCATATAAAGATATTTGAGAGATATTCAATTTATTAGCGAGATATTTTAGGAGAATCGAAGTAGTTGTAGATCTTTTACAAATTTAAACCTTATATTTAGTAAAATTATAGAAATGGCAAGGGTTTATGATTGCAAATAATACAAAATAAAAGGTTACTTTCCAAAAGGTACTTCAAAAATGTTATAATAGATGTTCTTAATTTGGCTTAGACCGTTTAGTTTTAAGATCGGTTTCTATAACACAATTTGTACTAAGATTAATTGGTGAAAAGATATATATATTTGTACTTGGAGAAGTTTTTCTAAAGTTTTCATATGTAAATTGTGGAAATGTTGAGGTTTTACTAGGATTCTGCGTATAAATTATCAACCATTAATTTCTTTTAATTTTTTTACATTTCGTATGTGAACCATATATGACCTAAAAATGTTTGAGAAATCATTAAATTGTTACAACTACTGTACGAATAAATAATTAATTAAGAAGTAATGAATTATAATGAAAATATATCTTTTTCCATTAATTTATTGTTCCACTCCACCCTGCATAATGCAGGTTACCCAAGAAGTCTTTATTTTCGTAAGTGATCGATTTAGGAAAAATCACTAATTATTTTACCGTAATCTTTCGAAATAAAACTTTGCAACAACATACATATATATATCTAAACTCGTGCATGACTTTGAGAAATCTATAACTCTTATTTGAAACATTTTAGAACATATTCTCACAAGACTTATCAATGTCTCCACGAACTTATATTTCGACGAGCTGATGACAACTTTTTCATTGGATAAGAGTCTTGGTTGAATGTAATAACGTCGCTGATTCCATGGCAAGATATACGAGAATTCTGACAAACATTAGGAGTAACGATCCTCGCATTGTTCACATAAATCCCTGACCCTCCAGATTTCGTGATGGTGAACATTTTATCAGACGACAAGCTACAAGGAACAAGAGTCCTGTTCGGAAAATGAAGCATGTGGTTGATCATAAGCCATGCAGGGATGGTATGTCTTAGGATAAATGACTCAAGATTCTCTTGATGTATGTCTGCATGGGAAAGATCGTTGTCGCTAGGCATCAAGAAAGTGATATCCGTGTTCCTGAAGTAATCTGTGTCGTTGAGGAAACGGAGAAGGATGACAAAACCGTTGTAAGATTGTCTTCTCATGTCGGACATGGCAGAGATGAGGTCGGTTTGGTTGTAGTTGTCATGTCTTAATATGAGATGTGGTGGCTCGGTGGATGCAAGAATCGTGAGAAAAAGGCAAAACAAAGGAGCTGTGACGAGGAAAAGAGTTCTCATACTAGCTGATATTAGAATCATATGAGTATATGATTCTCAAAACTTTGAAAAGAAACTTATATATAAAAGATGAATTCATGTTCTTTACGGGTTGATACTAAATCGGTGTGAGTCTAGTAGTGATTAGTTGATGCATGGTTGATTCGTGACTTCATCTGTTAAGTATGACAAGTATTACTCGTGTGGATTTTTTTGGTCCTAGTCATATACTTTTAACCATTTCTAAAATTGTTATTTTATGAATTGTAAATTTTAACTTATAAAATGAATGATTTATAATCAGTTTTAAAGATGTTTAAGCTACACTTATATTGGAAATGGAAAAAGTAATTAACTTTTAGTTTTTTAGAAAGCTTTTTTGATGATACTTTATAGAGTTTTAGTTTTTTAGAAAAAAATTTTGACGACACTTTATAGAGATAAGTGGTTAGAGCCTTTATTGAAAGATGGAGAACTGGAGATCAATAACCGAAAAATCGACGGTTAAAATGATTGTCCAAAAACATGAAAAAATGAAGATTTAGAGAAATCTAAAAGTTATAATTTAGGGTATTTACCTTTTTATCTTCATGTCTCTAAACCATAACCAAATTATATGTGTTAAACTACATTAAAATTCTCTAGTAGAGATAGAAAAGAGAATTATACAAACACAAAACTGCGTTACAACATAAGTATAACCGAAATAAATACACACACATATTGTATATACATCCAAAGTCAAGAAAAGAAGATAAAAATCAAGAAGATCAAGAAGAAGAATTAGGAGTAGTTGATGAGAGGGTTTAGTGAAGAACAAGATCATTAAAACCACGTTTAGAAGCTAAGCCAATGACACACAACATGTAAAACACTTTACCACTCTTCACTTTTGCTTTCACTATTGCCTTCCCTTTCTCCACTTTCATCTTAGCCTTAACCAACATTGGCTTCTGTATCTGCGAGTCTCCTAACCGCTCTCGCTCTTCTGCTTCGGGTTCCTCCTCTATCGTCTCGAGCCTCCCTTTTAGTATCTCCTCCAAGTCTTTCCCCAGCTCACATATCCTCTTATTCTGTCATATCACACAACACCCTTTGGAAAGTTACATGTCTAGCTAATATTGAAAACATATGAATCCAAAATCTTGAATTCGTTTGCTACTTATATACCTCGCAATCACGATTTAGGTTCCTCTTGTTCATCCTTCGATGTACAACCCACCACATCTTCCTATACACCAAACTCCTCATATAAACCTTTCTTGCTTCTCCAAAACTCTTTCAACTTGTCACATCAGTTTCAGAAAATGTGATGGCTTTCACCAAACCCTTTTAGTTCAGCTTTATAATGATACCACTTGATTCTCTCAAAGTGAACCAAAAAAGTTTGTTACTTTACAGACAAGCTTCAATCTTTAAATGTGTTGCTTCTCATTATAGCACATATTAAACAAAAACAAAAAACGAGGTGGTTGTCACAAATCATTACATTCTGTTTTGTAAAGTCTTTCATGGTCTGTAAAGTGATCCATCTCCTTTATCATGCTATCTCTCTTCTTGCCTTTTGTTTTTTTTTTGGGTTGCTTTCTCTTCCTTAATTGATGCTTTATTAGTCACGCTTAATCTCCATCAATTACAGATTATATAACATCTCCTTAATCATGCTAATTCATATATTGATGTTAACGACTAATATATAAATCTTTGTTTTGTTTTCTTTCTTACAACAGAAAATCATCATTCAATATCTAAATTAAAATAATTCGACCAATAGAAACAATACATATATTCAAATACAATTTGAAGTTTGCACATAAACTTTTTAAGAAATCATATAATATAAAACACTATGAAAAGAAGAGGATAGACACAAAAACTTAGCACACTTAGTGTTATATTATAGTATAGGCTGTGTAGCTTAGAGACCAAGTACGAGTAATGTAAATTCGTTTCATTAATTTATTTGGTTTTGACAAACACAAACATATAGTTTTGATTTTCTTTCTCATACATAAATGTTACTAAGAATTTTATCAAAACATCAAAACTACAAAGTCTATAACAACATCATATATGACATAGATGGTCTTACAATATATCACCATTCCTCTGTTTCTGATCTCTTTTTGTCTAATAAGTCAAAATTTTAGCCTTTTCTCTGATACAATAGGGAAGCCCCAATGAGAAGAAAGAATGTAATTGGGATATAAACCTTCTCTGTTCATTTTATTAGTGATCCTCGAGTAAATCCTCAAGATCCTTCTTGGTACAACCAGTGCCTTAAGAACCAACCTCCTTGGTCGGTTTAGTCTGAACCCTTTTGACCTACCCTGATCAAGCTTCTTTCCCCAGTGATGTCTTTTAGATCTTGTCGCCACTTTCTCATAGTGATGACTTAGCTTCTGGTACTGGCATGATGATCTTGACCGGTACTTACCAATAAGCTGCAGCATCTTGAGCTTCTTTGTTGTTTGTTGAAAACACACAAAAGAAAAGCAAAATAGATATGGTTTCAAAGATATTGTTGTTGAAGTGTTGGGAGAGTAGTTGTAAAACAAAGAAACACACTTTAAATAAAATGAGCAATGGATCAAAAAAGAGTGAGTAAACAAACAAAGAACACTTTGATGATGATTGATGATGAAGTGAAAGAGGGCTCCATAAATGATAAGAGAGTGAAAGAAAGATTCTAAAGGCACATGGATTTATTCTTCTTTGTATTTATTAATAACCACAAATCCCCAAATCCTTTGAATTGTTTTTGCAGTTTTTGTGTTTAACCACACAAGCCAGAGTGAGATGTATTTGACCTATGTGGCCTATGTATATCACATAAAAAACAAGACATAAAGAAAGAAAAAAAAAAGGAATTGATCTTGTAGTGAATAGGAAAATTGAGCAATGATTGATATAAAAGATTTTTAATCTAAAGAAGTGATTAAGGAGAAGAAAACTCTCCTTAATGTGTATCTTGGTTTAAGCCAATGTTAAAAATGTTATTAACTCTTAACTCAACAATACTCTTAGAAAAACACATGTTGTTATGTTATGTTTCTATCTTCATTTTGATTATATATCTAGTTTTTATTGTAGGATAAACTAGTTGTGTTGTTGAAGTATTTTCTGGTTAAATATAAAGGGAAATTTAAGCAAATATATCTATCAGCATGGACCTTTAAAGTCTCTTGATCATAAAAACAAAGATTACATCAAATGATTTGGTTGTAAAGATATAATAAAATTCTAAAATATAACATGCGATATTTGAGGAATCTACTTAACTAACTGATATTTATGTGTCACGTCTGACTCTTTTTTAATAGCTAAGATGAAGCTTTGTAACATTTCTAAATTTTAACGACAGGAGTAAAACATCATAGATATCGAGAACATCTCCACACACTGACACAATTATGATATTTGTTCATAAACTTCACAACTGAAGTTGGATCTCCATATTTGGTTCATTCGCTGCAATCCTGAAATGATGAATCATCCAATCTAGATTTCAATACAATTTAACTATTTTTTATATTATACAGTTCAATTGTTGTACACATTATCTTAATCGACTATAATAAATCATTCTAATTAATATATATATATATATATTATTTACTCTTAAAATTAATTAAAATAACAAAACATGATAAAATAGATTGGGATAATTTAATATTGCATGATAATCTATACTATAAAAGTACGTATAACTAAATACTGTAACTGCAAATTAGAAACCAAAGAGATTGGGTGAATAAAAATAGATAAATATTAAAAACTTACTTTTCTTTTCTTTGTAATTCACTTTTTTTTTGCTTATATTTTTATTTATTTTTTAAAAATAAACTATTAGTAAATTTGAATTTTGGTTATTCTTAAAAGAAATTTTGATCTGCTATACCACCTGATTTTGTGAAACTGATGATTTGTACACGTAAAGTGTACTTTCAGTTGGTAAAGCGGAGCCTTCGCCACACACAAAGAGGTCTTCTCGTCTTGATAAGTATTTAAAAACTTTCACAAGGTATGAGAGGATTGAAGAGAAGTTAGATGAGTTAGGTAGACAAAAACAGATTGTGAGAAGAGTGATATGAATAGCTGGATGAGTCTATTGCGAGACCTATCCTCCATGTTCATTGTGGTTGTTTAGTGCTTGCGTGCTAAATCCTTTCATATAAGATAAAAAAATATTGCAATACATAGAGTCTTGCTGGGTCGTCTGGCCTGATGTTCAAGAGTTGGTTTACTATAACACTTAGAGTAAAGTGTATGATTCAACCACAACCAACAAAATATCAAAACTAGAACAAGATGTATTATAACTAGGTTGATAAGGATTCACTTCGTTGATGATCAGTTAACTACCATTTTAACTTCTTTATGGAATTCGACTTCTTCGCGGCTTTTCCTTGAACCTAGCATCGAGATAGAGATGTTCTCAGCGCAGTGAAGAAACTCAGGCGACTTTGTGAGATTGATGAAGCTGATAATCACATTTTTAAGCTTCTTGTGAAAATCTCCAGTGGCTGATAGGAGGGAGCACTCGCCGAGAATGTCATGCATCGCTTTTGGATAACCCGAAGCAAATAACTTGCCTTCGTTTTGAAGTACGAACTTGTTGAGTTCTTGGTCACATGATACTATGGCTTTTCCCCCACATAAATTTGACTTGAACACTTTTCTCTACCTTCACAAAAAAAAAAACATTCAAAATTATATTGAAAAAAAAAGAAGATTAATCTTCAGTTTAGGTAGATATATATTATGTACCGTGAAACACGTTGTTGCAAGAATGTCCCAATGGAGTCTGATCTATGAGGTTTGAAGAAAGAAAGAGTTTCCCCAATGAAAGGCCATCCCATGCTACCATGTAGCCAAGAATAGTGATCTTTTGTATCATTTTCCTTAGATTTTGATGATATGTAATGAATCAGAATAGAGACAAAGAGAACTCCCAACGAAAGGAAGACAGATATGACCAGCACTGTCTTTCGAATTAGAGACGACGATCCTATTTTGATAATTGCGTATCTCTTAGTTATAATGTTTTCTTCTTGGTCTATACATATTTATAAACACACACACACACATAAGCAAAGAAATAGTATATGTAGTAGGTCCATTGCACTAAAAATTAAAATAGATCATTTAGTTCCATTTTTATTTGTTCAGACTTTGAGAAAATCAATAGTTTATACTGTTGCTGTTGACAGAAAGAATGTAAATTGTATACAAGGAAACAAATATCTATAGACTCACATAATTTTCTAAAGATTACCCTTATTAGAGAGGGTTATTGGATCGTTGATTTTGATGGATTTGGAAATCCAAACAAAAATCATATGTTATTCAATCATTGATTTTAAAATAACTATCAAAATCATGTGTTATTGGTTGTATGATTTAAAAATAACTATCAAAATCATGTGTTTTGTAAATTTTTAGAATAAAATAAGGGTATTTTGTCATTTATATTTTTAATCGCAGGTTTCATAATCGCATCGCTGATTTACTCGGGGATTAAAAATTTCTATAGCAAGTGGTTGCGACTGATCGCGGCGTTTAGTCCCTGCGACTGCCAAACGAAAAAAAACTAGTCACAGTCGCAGTCGTGAGGCACATGCGACTGCCAAACGAAAAAAAAACTAGTCGCATTCGCAGTCGTGAGGCACATGCGACTGCCAAACGAACATGACCTATTACTCTAAAACCCCACCTTTTTATCTGCCCAAAGTAACATTATTAAAACTATCTATTTGACATAACTCTATTAACATGTGTTACATCTTCTATCTCTTATGCTCTTTATTAAAGATAACTCTGGAGACAAATAAGTATATCTAGTTTTTTTGTTATAAAGTACATATAGTTAATCATTAAAATTTAACTATGAAAATGAAACCGGTAAGATTTTATCGTTTTCAGTTTGAGTAAATTTCGATAATATTCTAGCAAATTTCTGCTATTAATATATTTCTTTTATGTTTTGGATTTAGATTAAGATACTGAACATTATGAGGCGTGTTAGCAATATCTCGCTCACTGTGGTTGTTTAGAGCTTGCGTGCTATGCTCACCTACAAGTCAAAGTTCGATTATACTAAGTAAACGAAAAAATCAGCAATAACTATATAATCCGAATCCGAAGTGGTTTTTCGGATGAATTAACCCATTAATTTATGTTCCTTTGAGTGAAAAACCTGAACCAAAATATAGCGAGAGCATGTGGTGCGTAGCCAAGAGTTCTGCAGCCACGACAGAACTACATTGCGAGGGCGTTGATTGCTTCGTTGGAAGAAGTAAACCAATTTAGGCCAAAGAAGTCAAGCCACACTATTTCAAACTTCATTACAAAAGATTAGGCCCATTTAAGGCCCATTACAAGGTAACCCTTACCATACAAATACAATGACAAGACGAAGAAAACGCATCTTTGACTTGGTGACAAAGGGACACGCAAAAAGAGAAAAACTTTACTCTCTCCCTCGTTCACCACTTTCACGTCTTTGAACTGTTTATGTAATGTAAAACTCTCGAGAAGCAAAGTTCACGTTTCACAACCCTCTCTTTTGACTTTTCAATAAGTACATACAATATTTTAATGATTATAACAATAACCCAAAACTTCAATTAAACGTTATTAATCAAGACCAAACAACAAAATTATACACTTATTAATTCAAGCATAACACAAAGTGTCTCTTTCTTTAGAAGCAATAACAAGGTTCGTGTAAGTGAAGAAGCCTAAGGAAACGTCTCCGGCGGTAATAAAACGCCGATCTTAAACGAGACAACCAAACGACGCGTTTCAACCTCCGAGCTGATCTAAGTCTCCTCAACACAACTCTTTTCACTTTCTTGACGGATCTTGAAACTCTCTCCGTGAAACTCTGTTTTCTTGAAAACTGGTAGCTTCTTAGAAACATCTGTCTCTTCTCCAAATACTCTCCGTACTGTGCTGCTCCATGAGTCCCGTAGTTATAGTAGTTCTCAGAACCACTAACACCACTACTGCTTCTCAACACAAGGTTCTCGCTCATCTTCCTTCTCTTGTTAAAGAACCAGTGAAAGGAGGCTGAAAAAACAAAAAAGGGTCAAAAGTAAAAGTCGCCGCCGGGAAAAGACCACCGCCGCCGCCGTTGTAGTTACTTAATAAGGAAGAGTTTTAGTAAGAGGCGTGCGTTGAACTCTCTCTCTCTCTCTCTCTCTATCTCTTTTACTCTGTCTCTTTTGTAAGTAAGAAGTACTTAGTTATATATAGATCTTTTAGTTTATGTTTTAGACACTGTTGTGTTGTGTTCTTTTTATTGGCTCTTTAACTCTCTCATGTCTCATCTCAAGTCAAGACTTTAATATGTTAAAACTTATTTTAACATATTCCCAATAAGCAAACAACAACATTCCACTAATTACAATGAATGTGTGTGTTTTCCAAATCAAAATATATACTTACTAACTCGTTAATTAATATTATGAAGGTCAATTTGTTTTGAAAAATGAAGAGAACTTGTTTAGTGCATATACATTGAATCAAAAGATGTTTTCGATGCAGAAAAAAAAAAACGTGAAAATTACGTTATCATCCAAGACAAAATTAGTTCAAAGAATTCAAAGCCAATTTCATATTTTTAATTTTATAAAAACTTAGAAGAGTATTGAAATCACTACTACTACTACTATACAAATCTTGTAGTGAACGGTCTTATTTTTAATTTGTATGGTCCCATTTGTGGTCACAGAAGAATATGAGAGAGTTATGTGGTCATAGAAGAATATGAGAGAGAGATCTAAATAAATAGTTTTTGTTTGGTCGACATAACTAGTAAAGTATGGTAGGTGTGTGAAGAATGAAGATTGTGACATTAGCATTAAAGAAGGATAAGCCAACTCCTATACATTTTTTTGCATTGGTCAAAACCTAACCCTTTCACATTTCATCCCTATGAACAAGACTTGCTTATGCAAATGTCACCACAGAAGTATTCTCTTATTACTTGCAACTCCATTATTTCCATAGGCACAGAAGTTCACCATCTGACCATTAGCCTTAGCCTTTACGAGTTCATGGCTCGGTTTCCAAAACTCATCTGGTTACATGTATATAAAAAGAATGTTTCCTAATTCACTACAGAGCGATTCACAAGCGTTGAGAAGTAATCAATTGACAAGTATCATATCATATCCTATTGTTTGTATCTACAAAGAAGGCAGGAGTGGTAAAACAGGTTGCAAAAGAAAATGCCAGTAGAAGACTTATAAAGCTATAAAGGCAAACGGGTTTAGAAGCTTTTTTTTTTCATTTATCTTCAAGTCTTCTACTAACAACATCTTTCAACTAAGAACACACCTGAGACGATTCATTTGAATCCAGCTATTAGGAGCATGCTTTGTACCTTGTTAATGATTCTTTCTACATCTTGTTTGCTCCTATCTTGGCCCACTTTCACTTGCAGAGGGGACATTGCTCGGGAAACTAGATAGATCGATGTCAATGAGGGACATATCATACATTGTATCAAGAGAATCAGAGGCATCCACAAGCAAGGAAGATTTCACAGCGTCAGAGCGTGCAGGATCAGAAGTTTCGCTAGAGCTTTTTGGTGAGCTTGCCTCTGATGATAGACTACTTGACACCGAAACACCATCAATCTTGTTTGCATACACAGGTTTGTTCTTTCTCATTGCATCCATCTCTTGCCCAGTTGGAACAAAAGTTCTCGACCGGTACTTCTTTGTTCCCTCGTCACCACCATCTTGATGGTTATAGAGCACATAATCATGATAGGTAGGAGCAAACTGTAATAAACAATCATCAGGACACCAATATGAATAAATTATGATCTGAAGTGTCATATTATTTTAAAAGAAACCAGTTACCTGGTGAACAGTGTCATGGTAAAAGTCATTTAGTTTTACAGCATGTGATAGGCTCCCTGAGAAACTGCCAGATCCACCAACATTGGCACCAGCATACTCCTTGTATGGAAAAGCATAGAAATGGCATGCTGCAGCAATAAGCATCTCGACACATATTATAAAATTTTGAAAATGAGCTGCCTCCTCTGCAGTTTTTATGAATCCAGATTTTGCAGCAAGAAAAACTAGAACACCCTGTGCAAAGAATAGAATCATAGAACACAATTAGAAAAAAGCAACTATGTGTAAAGGACAGCAAAAGGTAAGAGTGGATGTCAAAAACTCTATGTTAGTAAGTAAATATTACCTGCCAATAGGTTAGAAAGACGACAGACTTTATGATCACAAATTTTGGTACTGGATTGAAAGGCTGAAGTAGATCTCTGCATGCCATATAAAACAGTACAAGTGCGTACAAAGCCACTGTGTAGGATATGGTATAGATGATGGTAAGATAGAGATATGCTTGATCAGGGTTGAAATTCCCATCCTTGTACTTCCCTTTCGCATAGAGCACAAGTGTGACAGCAACTAAGATAGGCTTAAGAATAACAAATTGCAGACAACCTTGCTTGCATCGTCGAATAAAACGCCTGCATCGAAAGACCATGGTGCATGTGTCAATAGATGTCAGCTAAGAGGACTGTCTTAGAAAAAATCCAGATAATCATCATGAGACCAAGAAATACAAACAGAACAATCAGTGTCTCTAATGGAGCTGCCATGATATGTAAACAATGTCCTTATATAAGTAACAACAAATTTGGTTTCGTTCTGAGAACATACCCATCCAATGTTAAAGGCGGAAAGCAACATGTCATGAGACACCACGATGGTTTTAGAGAGCGGCCGCTCAAACTAAGCACTACAGATCCTGGTCCCCCAACCCACGCCAAACACAACGATAGGAAATTGTAAATAACCCACGCTTCATATCTAAAACACAAAAAAAAAAGATCATTTAGATACATAAATGCCATTAGGCCATTGACTTTGAATAGTAACAGAAAACTTTCAGGGATGACTCTAAGACCTATATGGTCTGCACTCTACACTCAAGTTTCAAGGGTTAGAGATAACACATCTACAACTCCAATTTAGGAATACTCACACTTCTCGAATGGAATCAAAATATATCGAGCTTTTGGGCAGCACAAGAGACAAGAATGACATGAAGGCATAAACCTGGCAATGACAAGAACATGTCAGGGAAACAGAATTTAGCAAGTCAAGGAGTAAACACAGTTCAGACTATATATAACAATACTAACCGGAACCATGAAGATGATGCGCACAATATATCTCTGATAAGTCGGTTCCGTGTAATTCAATAAATGCCTGTAGATATGAAATATCGCCAAAGCAATGGCTCCAACAGTACATAGAAACGCCACAATGTTCAGATAAAACGGTATCAAATCCGCCATTCTGCAAAACAAAGAAGACAAATGAACAAACTCATCAAAACTATAACCAAAGCAAATACAAAAAAAAAGAGATCTTTAGGTACAATCACAAACCTCTACAAAGAGCTAAGACGGATCTGTGGTATCAAGAGACTCAAGAACCCTAAAACACACGAACCCAACTTCGTGATTCACTAAAGTTTGAAACTTTCTTCAAGAGATCGGCAAGTAGGAGTCGAGACGTACGAATCAGAGAGAAATGACGCAAACCCAGAATTTTGATGACACGATCCAAACGCAATTAAGGAAAGATCGTACCTTTGAAACTGATTTGGGCGAAGAGAACAATGTAACCGTAGTAACGAAGCAACAAAAACAGAAATTAAAAAAAAAACCCTCAAAGAGGGATTTTGTGGATGAGGGTTTTGATAAAGCTTTCTTCTTCCTATAGAAAGGAGAAAACTTTATGGGATTTGGTTTTCACAGCAGAGCAAAGTCGAAAACAGAAGCAAAAATGAAGAAGATTTGTTAAAAAAGGAATGATTTTTTTTAATTAAAGATTTGTTTTTTTGAAAAAGATGAGCAAAGAGAGAGGTGGAATCGATTCAACGTCCATCCAATCCAGCCTGTGAACTTCAAACCCTAAATTATTTCACATATTTTTATTTTATTTATAAATTTTTGGAATAATCTAACATCTCATAATTAATTAAGTCTCTCTACCAAATTCAATGATGATCGATATACAGTATGTTGTTGATAATTTATTAATTAAAATTACAAACTGTGTTATAATAATTTGTCGGCAAAGGATAATAAAAATGTTATAATCGGCAAAGAAGATGATATACATATATCGAATAATGTAGATTATAAAATATTAGACTATGTTTTTAAAAGGATAAGGTTTTATAATTATTTTTATTTAGATATATAAAATTTTATATACATACAAAGGTAATTTATGTGTATATATATAAAATTATACACATATTTAGATAAATTTTAACATTTTTAGTGTGTTTTTTTTAATAAAGTTTGAAAATGAGATATTTTCATAAAATGGTATTTGAAAAAAGGATATCGAATTTTATAAATTATATACTATAAACTAGATAGAAAAATATAAAAAGTGTTATAAAAGTTAACATTTTTAAAAATAATAAGTATACACCAATTTACTATCTATTTTGACATTCTTACATACAATTATTTTTACTATTGTAAATGAATTTTTTTATTAATCCATTGTCTACATAAATTTTTAAGAATGAGTGAATTTTAAACTTTAAGTTCTTAGGAGTTGTTGATTTTTCTTTGCACATGTATGTATGCTTGAGATACTATTTTGTAGAGGAACTAGTGTTAATATGTTGTAGAGGTATTATTGGTGCATCATTGATAAAACTTATGATGAGAATTTGATCGGTTGTTCATCAGGAAAATGTATATTTTTTTTGAATCAAATCATGATCTACGAAAAAGTAAGTAAAGCATTCATAATTGTCGTTTTTGTGCAAAAATTTTAAATGAGTCAATTAAATTATTTTTTTATACATTTTGGTTTATTAAAATCAAAGTTTTTCCGGCTTACATATATATATATATATATATATATATATCATTGTCAAACCATAGTTTTTTCTCATTACATATATAGATGACATGTTGAAGAGACTTTCTTCAATCTGTTATCATGAATTCGTTCAATTCATCCATGCTAGACGTTCAAAGGTAACTGATTCACCAATAGTTCTTTTTGGATTTAAACTTTATATTACTCATTTTAAGTAACCATTTTATTTTCATATGTTCATTGATGGTGTATTCTCTGGAGGTATATCGAAAATTGAAGTTTCAAATCTGTATAGATTATTTGAAAGTGTACATTTTCCTTGTGTTCCTATTCCTCGTGTCACTAATACCATAATTTAGTTCCGTATGCGCATTTGCATCTCCACCATTCTTACTCACAAACTTATATAGCTAAATTAAGAACAAATATGTTACATATAGATAGAT